GGTGGTGATTGCTGCTGTTGTCCCTGGTTTCACCATAGACCTTGTGTGTTCCAAGCTAGAGAAACACAGGTCCATGTGAAGAAAGAGATGTCTCTACCAGCCCTACATTGAGAAAAGCAGAAATGTGGACTCAGGGCCAGAAACGGGGGCCCCAGCCCAGAAACATGAGCAGGTAAGCTGCCCTGCCTCACGTCTGGTGTAAAAGTAATTATTTCTTTTTTCTTTAAGAGATGGGGTCTCACTCTGTTGCCCAGGCTGAACTTGAACTCCTGGGCTCAAGCGATCCTCTAGCCTCAGCCTCCTGAGTAGCTAGAACTACAGGTACATGCTACCACACCTGGCTTATGAGCACTTATTTCTGAAAATCAGAGTTGGGAGGGCCTCCTGGGTCAGCACACAGGGACTAGGAGAGGGGCAGGCTGGAAGGGGTGACACCTCCTACAGCTCCTCAGCTGGCCTGTGCTTTCCTATGCTTCTCTACCATCCCCATGGAATCAAAGACTTCAGGAAGGATTTCATTCTGAATCTGGGCCTATTTCAAGAAACTGATGAAATGGCAGGATCTCTTCCCCACTCCCTGGCATCTCCCTGCTCCCATATCCAGAAATCTCCTCGGGTACACAGACTATCATGTTTTCTACTTTATCCTCAGTGTCTTGCAAAGGGTGTAGCCCATCATGGCCACTCATTAACTACTGGGTGGGCGGGTGAGTGGGTGGATGGATGATAGATGAGTGAATAGATGCATGCTGATGGATGAAGAATGGATGGGTGGGTGGGTAGATGGATTGAGTAGATGATGGATGAGGGGTGAATGATGGGTAGATGGGTAGGTAGATGTGTGGTTGATGGAGGATGGGTGGATAATGGGTGGGTAGATGATGGATGGATGCTTGGATCATATATGTCCTGGAGGGGGACCTGCCTGCCCTAGAATGGTGGCTCTGCCTGTCATTAATCAGTGCCAGATCATAGATGGATGTGGGGTAGATGATGAGTGGATGGGCAGATGATGGATAGATGGTGGGAGGATGATGGATAGAGGAGTGGGTGGATGATGGATGGAATGGATGATGGACGAGTGTGTGCTGGGTGGATGATGGGTGGATAGATGGATGTAGGATAGATGATGAGTGGAAGGGTGGATGACGGATGGACGGCGGGTGGATTATGGATAGATAGGTGGGTTGACGATGGATGTGGGATAGATAAGTGGATGGGTGGATGATGGATGAATGGGTGGGAGGATCCATCCCACAATGAGGGATGGATGGGTGTGTTGATGAAGGATGAATGGGTGGGTTGATGATGGATGGATGGGTGGAAGCATGATGGACAGAGTAGAGTGGTTGGATGATAGGTGGGTGGATGGATAGTTGATGGGTGGATGGGTGGGAGGATCCATCACACAATGAGGGATGGATGGGTGTGTTGATGAAGGATGAATGGGTGGGTTGATGATGGATGGATGGGTGGAAGCATGATGGACAGAGTAGAGTGGTTGGATGATAGGTGGGTGGATGGATAGTTGATGGGTGGATGGGTGGGAGGATCCATCACACAATGAGGGATGGATGGGTGTGTGGATGAGAGATGGGTGGCTGTGTGGATGATAAATAGGTGGCAGGATAATGGATGGGTGGGTGGAAAGTTAGGTAGATGGATGGGTAGTTGGGTGGATATGGGGATGGACAGATGGATGGGTGGGTGGGTGTATGATAGAGATATGGATGGATGAGTGTGTGCTGGGTGGATGATGGATGGAAGGATGGATGGGTGGGTGGGTGGACGAGCAAATATGGATCCTACTATTTGACTGGTTCTAACTAACTCTTCTCTGATTTTGTCCCCAAATCCCTCAGATGCTGGGGATAACAGTCTCCTCTCCTTTCCACTCTTCATCTCAACTTCCTTGACCTACAGTTTTTCCTTCCCTTGCAGTCTGGCTGGTGAGCAGTGTTAGCCATGCTCCAGTGTGGTGCCTCAGAAACTCATCCACTCCCCCTGGACTTTCCAGGTGGCAGTAGGGAAAGGCTGAGCAGTATGTCAGGTGCTCTGCTGGGTGGTAAAGTGTGTAGGGGAGAAATGTAGAGGAGGATACACAGGCCCTCAGCCCTGGATCCTAAAGGAGGGGGCGATGGAGAGAACCTGAGTGCTGTCGGCTCAGCTCTAGGACCTTTAGTGAATGTCAGTGGCTGAGATGATGACTAAACATGGGCCCTAGTAAGTGTTTGTACAATGGATTAGTGAATGATTGAGAGAAAACAACCAGTATTTGATGCTGCTGAAAATACCAAAGAACTAATAAAGAATGGGGAAAACGAAAACTTTGGCTGGCTCTATAGATAATACTCTTCAGAGCAATTTACGTAAATGTCATACTGTCTCTTACCCTGTTTGTTCGTCTTACATAGATTTGCTCATCACCTATTGTATACATTAATGTGTGTGTGAGTGTGTGTGTGTGTGTGTGTGTGTGTGTGTGTGTGTGTGTTTACATGGACTTAAAAATGAGTAAGACAAAATCTTTGTCCTCAAGGGAGTTGATACGTAGTTGGGAAGGCAAGAAATACATACAAATAATGTCAACATAGGGTGTGATGAAAGCCATAGAACAGTTACAAACAGATAAATTTTCAGCTAACACAAAAAGTGTGTGTGTTACAGGTAAACCATTTCTCCTTAGGAGTAGGCTATGGGATGGGGCAAAAGGCTCTACCCAGGCCCAGGACGGTCTGCTTCTTGGCTGTGAAGCCTAGGCCAGGTCCTGATGCCTCTGACCCAAGCAGGCCAGCTAAGCCGGGCCATCAACACAGCTCCATCACTGTGGCTTCTACCTGGGAGGGTCAGATATGTCCTGAAGGGGGACCCACTGGCCTGAGCCTAGAATGGTGGCACTGCCTGTCATTACTCGGTGTCAGATGCATATTGGAGGCTTTGATTTCAGGGCTAAGTCCTGTTCTTGTGTGCTCTGCCTTATGTTGGTGGTATGGTCTGGTTATGATTTGTGTTAGTGAAAGCACATATCATGAGAGGCCCCAGAAGACACAGACAGATCTGTATGAACGTGCCTCACTCCTTGCGAGATGTGTCACAGCCTGGTTGCTCCCTCACACGCAAGTCAAACATGCAGGAAGCAGAACCCCTTGCTGGGGCCATGTTCGTCTGCATTGCGGCCAGGCAACTTGCATGCTTCTTCCATTTTCCTAAAGTAAAACTGAAAAATGAGACCAGGGCCTGTCAACACCCACGTTCTCATTAATGTGGCACCATGTGACCCTGGATGAGAGAAAACCAGGGAGCACTTTCTTGCCAGTTGTGTTCACTTGATAAAGCAGGGTTGTCAGAAGTCTGCCCTTTTCTTACAGAAATTCACAGGATTATACAAATACTTCTGTCCCATGTCCAAGCATCCCTGTGAAATAAGTAGGTTTTGAAAAACAGGTGCTTGGCTTTCAACATAAGCCAAAAGGCCTGGATGTCTCCTGGAAGAAGACAGAGTATCACTCTGGACAAAATGAGAATCCACTTAGCAGCCAAGACAGCAGGGACTTTGTTCTGAGTAGAAATGCACCCTGCTTGAGGAGGCCAGGGCAGAAGAGTGCTGTCTAGAGCTCCCAGTAGCCAGGCACTGAGCTGCACCCATCCTGGGGTCTTACACATGTATGTTGCTAGATCATTCTCATCCCTTCAACCGCAACCCCTACACACATTATGGAAGCAGCTGTCAGGGTACTTTCCCTAAAGAAGATGAAAATTGCTCCGTAGATATTAAGTATCTGGACTTAACAGCAGAGAAGAAGGTCGAATTAAGCTGAAGTCTACCGTTTTTCCAGCTTCTTTGTGTAGGGTGAGATCCACTGTTTCATGTTTCTCATATACACAGCCTTCCGGTGAAGTGAATCATGGAAAAACACTTTGATCATTTAGAGAACCTTTAGACTGAGAGATGGAAGTGGGGTAGAGGGAGAAAAAATGCTAACACTCTCCAGTGTAGACACCAGGGTGACGCCTGCCCCCAGAGTGTTGCCCCAAATCTCTCGGCTGATCCCACTCATGTTCATGCAAATTTTCTATTTTTTTTTAAATAATTGTCATGAGTCAAGACATTCTAGTTTAAGTCCCTCTTAAAATGTAAATGCCTTGAAAAGGCAAATACAAATATTTTACAAATAAAACTATTAAGGTAACTGCCATTTCTAGTCAAGCATTCTTATATTTATCAGATATGAAATTTGAGGTCCCTATGGACACATTTTAGGGTTCACATTTAAATCCAGAGAGAAGTTCAGTGGCAGTAACAGGTAGAAAAATAAAAGGTGACATTCACTGAGAACTTACGTTGTGCCATATTACTTGCTTTCATCATCTTATTTAATCTGCACAACAACCCTTTGAGCTAGATTTCAGTTAATGCTGCCACTCAATATCCAGAAAGAGATGGACAGGCTTAGAACCCATATGAGTTCAGCTTCAGCACAAAAGCTTTTAACCAGTAAAATATCCTTTCTTCTGGAATAGCTCATTTTGAGGGACTGAGTTTACCATGAAGTCTTTGCTCCAGCTGTTGCCACATCTCTTCATGTCCTGGCAGCTGTGTCATAGAAGCTGCCAACCCATAAGGCCCTATTCTGGCCAGTCAGCACCGAAATCTCTCGTCTTTTCCACTTGATGACAGCATGGCAAGAAGGCCATGGGATGAGGATACTGGTTAGCACAGGCAGTGCCCTGTGAGGGAGAAGCACAGGCTCTGCTAGGGAGAGATTCAGGTGTCCTTTCTGGGTGTGTAGTCTCTGGGAAGAGCAGTGGCATCAGGGAGAGCTGAAAGAGGGGTAGCTTTGGAGGAGAGGGCTGGAGAGCCCAGCTCCCACCCAGGCAGGTGACCATGCACAGGGCCGTGTGCTTTCATCACCTGTCCTGACAGTTTGATGAGCCCTCTCGTTTGACAACTGCAGATGTGTGAGGCCTGTTGCTAAAGGTAGCTTTCTCTTCCTCCACAGGCATGAATGCTTTACAATTGCAGAACCTGGCGACGCTGGCTGCTGCTGCAGCTGCGGCCCAGACCTCAGCCACCAGCACCAATGCAAACCCTCTCTCTACCACGAGCAGCGCCCTGGGAGCCCTGACAAGTCCCGGTGAGTGAGAGGGGTGCTCTTTCCTTGCAGGGGACGCAGCAGGAGTGGCAGGTTGGTTTCCATGCCTGCAGGTGCAAAGGGTGAGGCCAGACGTGCCCATGATGGAGCCGGGAAGCTACACTGGGCTGCTTTAGTTCATTGGGCTATTTAATTTTTTTAAAGGATCAGAATTCAAATGTGTCCTTTATTTTCCATGGATAAGATGAAAAAAATGAGAGAATCCACTGCGCAAGCCCTTCTCACACATTCACTCTGTTTTAAAAAGGTCCGTATTGTCCATTCAGCACTAGTTGTTACCACTATGAAGAGCCTCTGTCTCTTAGTCTTTCTTTGTCCTGTGTGTAAGAATTCTCTTTTAAATCTCAAAATTCCTGATTCCCATGTTATATTTCACAGCGACTCCATCTGTCACATTTGATGTGAAAATCCGCAGTCCAGCAGGGAACATCTTTGCTCATGTCCGGTCAGATTCTGGGCTGTGTCATTTAAAGTCTTTTTTTCTTCACAAATTTTGTTGCCTTATTCAAAAGCAGACGCCAGTTTCCTTTTCCTACAAGCCAGATATAACTTGGTTGCTTAGATACCGTGATTTGAGGGTTTCTTTTTTTTTTTTTAATTTGAAAAAAGTAGAATGTTTCACTGGCTTTTCTTCTCTCCATTTTCCAGACCTTGATAGATGATCTCACCTCCTTCTCTGTTACGTGAAGGAATTGGCCTGGACAGTCTCCAAGCTTCCTTCTAACTTTCAAAATCCCATGACCCTTTATCAGCTGTGCCCCAAAGATTAGCTAAGTGTTGAAAAAACTTTAATAAAAAATAGCAAATGTGTTTTCAGGAAAACACACATCGAAAGCTATAGCCCACAACAGACTGGCCATTTTAGGGCTTTTGACTTCAGGGAGGCATGAGGCACATTCCTAGAGCTGGCAGTTCTCTAAAAAGCAGTCACCCTTTGTCTCTGCATAAGACATCGTGTATCTAAGACATTTCACCCTGAGGATGGTTTGGAGGGAGAAGTCTGAGAGATGTTGAAGAGAAGGTGGTGTATTTACCCATAATGTGCTGAAATCTCACAGCACGCATATTGAGTTCATTGTGTATAGTGTCTTCAAAAACATCCCCTTACTATATATGGGCCTCATCTTATGTAATGAATACTATTCCTGAAAATTCAACTTTGCCACCCTTAATTTCAAGAAATTAAGTGATAGCTTCAATGCAACACATCAACTTGTTATTTAAATAAATCCTGTAATGATCCCTTTTGAGAAATAAATGTTTTTAACATGATAGATTTCTCCTTTGTAAAAAGTCCTTTTTAAAAAAGAAAATTCAATCCTGCCCAACTTAGATTTCATAAATCAGATTAAAATGTATTTTCTTAAGTAGGATATTTTTTCCTTTGTGATCTCTATGCTTACACCAAAATAGCATGGAGTGTTGTTAATGCATTTTGGTGTATCTTTAGTCCAAAGGAGGCTTGTCAGTTTAAGATGCCAAATGCAGAAGCAGCTATCAGCTTATCAGCATAGATAATATAAATCCAGAATAATATCCAGGAAGTGCTGTGTGGCGTCAGCAGGACAGACGTGCTGCCTACCTTTGGGAGTCCTTCAGTCCACCAGGGTCTTAGACAAAAAAACTAAGCAATCAGTGACAAATCAGTGATAGAATCCCACTGAAAAAGGGGAAAGGGGACTGGAGGAGGTGACCTCTCTCTCAAAAGGTGACCTTTAAGCAGAGACCTGAGTTCCATGATGGAAGCTGTGGCGCCCGTTCAGGCAGAGGACAGAGCCAGTGGGCGGGGAGAGCAGAGTGGGGGTGCCGTGGCAGACAGCATCCGTTCTATCCCACATGGGGAGGAGCGTGAGCTTGTTGCAGCCTTCTTAAAATGTGGGCTACTCAGATGGCCTAGGGCGACAGCCTAGGTGTTGGTCGAAAAGGAATTTTAAACATATGTGACTATTTTCAGTTTTTTCCTGAAACCACAGTGAAAGAGAACGTGTTGTGAGCTGAGCCTTCCTCCCTGCTGGAGTCAAACCCACACCAGGCAGTGTCCTTCCCCTCATTGCTCTGGAAGAGGCTTCCTGCCCTTCAGAACACGCCACTCGCTTAGTGTCACTGAGAGCGATTTTTCTCTTCTCTACTGAGGAATGCTTTGCATAATAACTGAAAGTATTTTATTAGAATCCTGAAGTGTAGCAGCAGCAGTGATTGAAATCTACATTTCAATTATTTTTCTTATTAAGTGTAACTAAAAAATCTGGTGTTTAAGTGAAAGTAAATTATTTGTCTAATTTCCATCAGGGACTTTTTCAAAGTCACAGAAAATGTGGTTTGTAGGATTCATGAATCTCCACTTCATCAAAGCAATTTTCTAGAAAATAAAAAAAGTTGAAAGCCATTCCCAAAGCCATGGCCATTATTTACTTTTTAAATAATAATAAACTGGGTGCAATATTTGAACCATGAACCAGTTCATTCACACCATGAGATGCAGGGAAGCCTCATCCCATCCTTCCTCCACAGGGCCTTGGGTTTACCCTGTTTTAAAAGCATGTCTCTTAAGCTTCAGACAAATTCATCTAGAAGGCAAAGGGACAATTCAATCCCCTAAACTATTAATTTTTTTTAATAATTGTAAATTTATCATTTCAATTTTGCATACCCAGGAAAAGTCTCCCTACAGCATTATTTTAAATGATTTAAAACAGTCTTGACTTTAAAACATGAAAGATTAAGCTTTAATTTTTGTTTAAAAAAATCCCCTTAGGCAATAAATAGGTTCCTTTGTCTCATGGCCTTGAAATAAAAATTAAAATGTTTAAATTGCCCATGGTTAGAATAAGTGTTTCATGCAATTATCAGATGGTAGTGAATAAAATTAGAAATTAAATCATGAAAGAATAAAAATCAGGTAAGTGCATATTACGCCTTTTATGAGTTTCTCACGGGCCTTTTGAAGCCTAATTTAATCATGTTTCTTGTCTTTTATTTTGATATGATAATTTTTCCTTTGTTTACCTCAGTCTTCTATTTAGTTAATTAATTCTTGGGTCATTTTTTTGTTACCCAGTTTTTAACCTGTTTTTGAGGACTGTGTCTCTGTGTAAGAGGCAAGTTGTCTAGAAGTGGTGTAACTAGGTATTAAAGACGATAATGTTTGTCTTACATTCAATTTGCAGATTTCTTGGTTTTGCTGGTACTTTTGAGAGCTGGCAGAGACTGTTACTGTTACTACATGTGAATATTTCTTTCTTGGTCTAAAATATACTACTGTATTCATGTACCATGTTATCACACTGACCTTCTATCTTCTTCTTTTAAAGAAAAAGGATGCTTTAAAATTCTCCAAGTGCTTATGTAAGAGCAGAATTAACCAAATATACATTCCAGGATAATAGATTGGTTCTTACCATGGTACAAGGCATTTGAAAAGGCTAGGAAACATTTTTTCATTCCCACCATTGGCTCTTCAAAGAGTTATCACTTTGAATTCTGGGTAGCATTTTCCCCATCTTCAAGGTGTCCCCGGCCTCCTTGAAGGCTGTGACAAACAGAAAGCTCCAAGGAAATGGTGGCATTTCCTCTTGGAATGTGTGAGGGTAACAGAGATTGGAGAAGTTTGGACATTGTTCAGCCATTCCCTGCTGCCTCTCGTAGTACTGACTGAGGAAAGGTGACTGTTGTTGCACACCTATGTCACCAGAGCAGCTGAATGGCCAAGTGGAAATGCGAATTCACCTTGACATTATGCTGTGGCCTTTACGTTGACAGGAGGCTTTGTCACTGCCATCAATACATGTCTGCACTTGCATCAGAGAAGAAGTTGAATTATGCAAAGAGATGTGATGCATAAGCTGGTTTAACCCACATTTCTGAGACTTCTAGTCGTGCAGGACAAATACATAAAAACGAGTTGGGGCCTGCACTGCCCTCTGCAAGTGGTGACCTGCAGGAGACAGTATCACAGATGAGAAAGGGTCAGGGCAGGAGAGAGGGACAGACAGGCGGACAGAGAGGCCATCTCCCCAAGGCTACTGCAGTGGTCCTACAACCTCAAAGTCTAGAATAAACTTGCCCCACAGACCTGTCCTTACCCCTCCGGTCTCACCCTGTTAAGTGGATCATCCCAGTGGCTAATATCTCAGTTGCTGATCTTTGCAGCTGGCCCCGGGCTCATCTGTGTGCATCATCAGCCCCTCAGTTCTCCCTGTGAAGCATCTTTTCCCTCCCAGGCGACAGGAGCCTGGAAGAGACCCTCATCTTCTCTCCCTTTGTACTGTTGGAACAGCCTCCAAGTCGGCCCCTTACCTCTGTCTTGCACGCTCTTGGCATCTGTGGTCTAGACTGGAGTGAAACAAACTCCAGGTGTGGTGATCAGGGTCCACCTGGACCACATCCACTCTTCCGTCCAGAATCTGGGCAGCACACACTCACCCAGATCAGGTCACCCCTCATACCCCAGCAACACCATCAGCCTTTATGCCATTATTCTTTCAGGCCTCTCTACCTAGAACATCTCCCACCTTTCCTCCCATGAAAATCTGTCACTCATTTATTGCACTGCTGGTTCTTAAGAACAATAATGTTGGTGGGTATGAAAGTGTTTCTAGTGCACATTATAAAAAGTAGAGCTTAGGCTTCTTCTGTAATTTAAACTGGAATAAAAGATTTTTGGTGGTAATTACTAAAAACTGTTTTCAGTAACCTACTACTTTTATGAATCAGTGTATATGCCACCTCTACCATGAAGCCTTCTAGATAGAATTGATCATTTCCACATTGTATTTCTGACATAGTACCTAGCTCATTCTAGACCTGGGTTAGTGCAGACTGTTCCTGAGGAGCTGTTGGGCTCCCTGAGGGTAGGGGCAGAGAGGACTTGAGTGTCAGTGCTGGCCGGGCGTTCTGCAGACACTGCCCCTCTCCTGTGCTGCCAGGGCACGCTCGGCCTCCCTCCACTAACGCTGACCCTGTTGTCTCTGCAGGACGGTCAT